AAAAAAAATTAATTAATTATAAGAAAAAATTTTAAAGAACATCGAAATAAGGAAACAAATTTATTTCAATTAAATATTTTATTTATATAGCAATTTTATGTATATAATAATTTTAATTTAAAAAAAATATATTTCCAATGACCTCAAAAACTAATTGTCATTGCAAATAAAAAATATATATAACCCCAAACGTATTAAAAAATAACCATAAACGTGTTTACAACTTTAGCACTAGTCGTTAATGGGGTTTCAACAAAAGAATAAACAACAAAAACAAAACCAAGAATTCTTCAATACAATGGCCAGAACAACAACAGAACGTTGTGACATAAAATTTTAAATTCTGATAATCGCAGGCACGCATACATCTGCACTTTGCAGTACCATCCAATGGACAGACAAATTCCATATCCACTGCTTCTGACCTGGTGATGGCCCACTTGGGGGTTGTGAAGTTCAAAGCAAAACAAATCAAAAAAGTGAATTTGTTTTTGTTTTTTGTTGTGACACTAAAAGTTTGTGGCCTTTTTTCCTTGACTACACAAACAAATTATGAATTTTATTTGATGGCCCGTGTTAATGTGAATTATAAAAAAATACTGACAACAACAATTGTAATAAAATCATAATAATATGGTTTCCTAAATACTCCCTACACTTAAAAAAATAATACAATTCAACAAAATGATGTGCAAATTTCTATGAGAAATACATTTTTTTGTTTATTTTGCTTGAAGTGTGTATGTGTGTGTTCGTGCGTAAGTAAGGTAGGTTCAGGTGCTAATGTGAAATTAGAGGTTCGTTGTTATGATTTTTTTTTTGAGTTGAAGGTGGGGGAGATCTTATTTTTTGGCAATATCTATTTAATGTTCAAGGTATCAGTTTTAATTATTATATATATATATATTTTTTTAAATTATCATCACGAAACAAATTTTTATGAGAAGATGTCGTAAAATTTGTTTGCTTAAATTAGTTCATGATTTATGTGACATTTAATTTTAAAAGTGTAATTATATTTAAATTAAAGTTTATAATTGATATAAAGAGCAAGGTTAGGTACTTGACCTTGACATTTCATAAAAACTAACTTTGGAGTTTCAATTAATTGATAAAAAAAATATTTTTTAAAAAAATCTACTCCTTGGTTAGTTGATAAAAAACATTATTTTTTAAACCAGTGAGCGGAGTAATATAGTCGGACGGAGCCGACCATATGATCCTGGCATATTTTAGAAATTTTTTTTCTTGAAGTGAATTTTTACGCCGTTAAATAAAAAATTGGTCACTTTAGGTTTTAGTTGATTTGACCTTCTGAATATTGACCGATCATCATCTAAACAGCCGCTCTAAGTATTTGGTCAGATCCCCTTCACCTTGTAAATTATGTGATGCTCTGCATATAATAATTGGCTCTGGTTCATTGCACCCCCTGAATGAAATCTCAACTTCACCGAAAACCGTAGGCATCGTCCATGACCATAATCGGAATTTCATGTACGATTTTAAAGCGATCAGCGCTACATTTCTATCCTCTAATGGAGTAATAGTAATACTTTGCACATAGTCACCTTTACCTAATTACGTACAACTCCCACATCAGAGTACATACAGCCATATATACATACAGAGTACATACAGCCATTGGTATCAATTTGAAGGCCAGCCACTCCTCTTGGCTATACTATCAACTTCTCGGGTATATGTCCTTCAGGAGCAAGTATATACGCCCCAGAATAACAATTTTGTAATTTTTCACACAAAAGTCAGGGTCTATTTGACCCGCTAAATATTGACCGATCAGGCATGCTCATTCTTTGGCCCGATCCCCTTCTTCATGTAAAACTTCGAGATGTTAGGGCCTTATTATGGCCTCTGGAGCGACCAGAAAAACCGACAAAAATTAAGTATTTGGTCCATTTCATCCCCGAAGTATTGGGCCGAACCCATCCTACATGCAAAATTTCGTGAAGATTGATCTATAATTGTGGCCTGTATAATGTTTACAAATTATAATGGGCAGACGGACGGACATACATGCCTATATGGACTCAGCTAGTCGAGATATGACGATAGATATACTTAAAGGTGGGTCTAGGAGCAATATTTCTCGGCGTTACAAACTCTTGGGGCTGCAAAAAGCTATAATACCCTGACAACATAGTTGTATAGGGTATAAAAATTTAAATTTGTAATTGACATAAAAACTATCTTTGGGGGTTCAATGGAATTTAGTACATTATAAAAAAATATTTGTATGATATTTAAAAAAATCAAAACCACGTTTATTTTCAAAAAATCTACCCCTTTGATAGTCGATGAAAATATCATACCCTATATACTGGCCTAGTTAAAATCATTTCCAATTCAATGACACACAAATCATTCAAAAAATTTCCCAAAGCCCCATCAGCGTCTAATAAAATATTCAAAACAAAAGGCACCCCGACTTCATCCTAATTCAATAAACGTAAAATCATAATTAAAATGCCACTGAACTAAAAAAAATAAAATAATATTAACATGATTATGCGAGTTCGTAAAATACACAACACACATAAATAATCGAAAATAACAATAAGCTGATACTGAGTGGTGAGTGACTGGTTTCACAGAGGCATCTGCAGATATAATTGTACTAGAAAATTCCAATTATTAAAAAAGCCACAGAAAAGAAAAACAAAAAAAAATGTATTTACAAAAGCCTTGACCTACAGTTCTATTGGTTTTTTTGTTTTGTAGAAAATAAAAGAATGTGTAAATATTTTAGAAATATTTAAAAATAGTTTGATTGGTGCTAAACAAATCTACATCGACATAGATAATATTTTTTTCTTCAACTATTTAAGTCGTTGATTTCTAAGGAATATTTTTTAGACTATCCAAGTCATAGGTTTAAAAAAAATACGTTTTAATCAACCAACCAAGGCTTAAATATTTAAAAACATTTTTTCAAGGCCCAAATAAGGCATAGATTTTTTAAAGAATATTTTTTCAAGAGCTCAACAAGGCGTAGATTTTTTAAAGATTTTTTTAAGAGCTTAACAAGGCGTAGATTTTAAAAAAATATTTTTTCAAGAGCTCAACATATTTTTCATCGATTTTAAAATTCTAAATATTTATTAAAAATGTTTAAATATGTATTCAAAACCCATTTTTATTACATTCATGTTTATTACATTATTTTTAATTTCATTATACCCTTCACCACACTGTGGTACAAGTAACTGGTGCACCAAAGTCCCTATATATAAGTAGTCCACCAAAATTCCTATATATCTTTCGATTTGCACGAAATTTGGCACAGCGTACTAAATTAAGTCTTGAACGATGTGTGTTAAATTTCGTGAAAATCAGTTCAGATTTAGTTATAGCTCCCATATATATTTTCGTCCGATTTAAGGTAAATGGTGTACCAAAGTCCCTTAATATCTTTCGGTTTGCACGAAATTTGGCACAGCGTAATGAATTAGATCTAGAATGTTGTGTTAAATTTCGTGAAAATCGGTTAAGATTTAGATATAGCTCCCATATATATTTTCGTCCGATTTTAGGTAAATAGTACACCAAAGTTTCTATATATCATTCGATTTGCACGAAATTTGACACAGCGTACTGAATAAAGTCTGGAACGATGTGTGTTAAGTTTCGTGAAAATCGGTTCAGATTTATATACAGATCTCATATATATATATTTTCGTCCGATTTAGGGTAAATGGTACACCAAAGTCCCTATATATCTCTCGATTTGCACGAAATTTGGCGCAGCATAATGAATTAGTCCTAGAATGATGTGTGTTAAGTTTCGTAAAAATCAGTTCAGATTTAGATATAGCTCCCATGTATATTTTCGTCCGATTTTAGGTAATTGGTGCACACAAGTCACTATATATCCTTAGATTTGCACGAAATTTGTAACAGCGTAATGAATTAAATCTAGAACGATGTGTGCTAAGTTTCGTGAAAATCGGTTCAGATTTCGATAAAGCTCCCATATATATTTTCGTCCGATTTAATGTAAATGGTGCACCAAAGTCCCTATATATCTTTCGATTTGCACGAAATTAGGCACAGTGTAATGAATTAGGATGTTAGAATGATGTGTGTTAAGTTTCCTAAAATCGGTTCAGATTTATAGCTCGGTTTAGATTTATAGCTTCAATATCTGACCAAATGAAAAATTTAGTATCGGTTGCAGAATGACATGTTTATCAATGCAATTTCATTTTACTGGTCCCTTAAAAATGCGACGTCTGTTAGGATTCATCTGTTGAATATACCCAAAGTGTTGAAGGGTATCATGTAGTCGGCCCCATCCGACTTTACTACTTTCCTTACTGGTTTTATTTCATTTTAAAATTCTAAATATTTATTAAAAAAAATTAAAATATTTATTCATAAACCTTGACAAGTGAGACTAATTTCGCTTTCGTATATAGGCCTATTTATAATTTATAGGCTTGGCACAATGGAAATATTCCCATAAATCGCATTTTTATGTAAATTCACACCTCTGTCCGTGTTCAAAACAAAAGACTTAGGCGACAAACTTGAACTTAACCAGTAAAGGGTCACAGATAACCTTCAATGGATGAAGCTCACAGCGAATACACTGTGACACATAATTCCAAAGTGACTAAGCGATTTTTTAGGCCACCAAAAAAGCAAAATCAAACAAAAAACGATAAAAATCGAGAAAAGAAGAAGAGTAAAAAAATAACAAAATCAAAAAAAAGAAGGCCAACAATCAAAGGGTCTCTTAAAGAAATTTTAAAGAAATGCAAATAAAAGCGAAAGTAAAAGTTTGTTTTTTGGAAACTTCGTCAAACCGTCACAAAAAAAGTGTCAATGAAATGCTTACACATATTAGCTCACTTAGCCCCACACATTCCCCACCCTCCCTACTTGTATCCCCTTGGCTTTCTTCAAAACACAAATATCCAAAAACGGTATCAATAAACAACACAACAACAAAAGTAAAGAAAGAAAAAAATACAAACCGGCATTTATTATCAAACAGCTGAGCGTCAAGGCAAAAATCCATAAATTCCGGAATTTTGGAATTACAGCAACAGCGAACATTTCTGGCTTATTGGCAATGGAGCTTGAAGACTTTGCTTTCGGGTGGTTTTTTTTGGTTTTCAACTCAACTGTTAAATAACAGTTTGTGGCAAAGAATTTTCGAACATTAATTAGCAGGGGTTTTGGCCAAAAAAATACCAAAACTTTTTTTATGTTTTTTTTTTTTAATTTTTGTTTTGGTTGTAAAGAACTTAGGCTAAATGGCCTTTAACGTAAGACTTGTTTTCGACTTTTTTATGGCTAGTAACCAAATTTGTTGTATTTTTTATTTTGTTGTTGTTGTTTTTTTTGGGTATGTTGTCAGTTACCACCTGTTGTTTTTGTTGTTGTTATTATGTAATCGATGATCTCTGTTATTATTATTTTTTTTTATTTATTTTTATAACCATTTGATCAAAAATTTTTAAAGGCCAAGGTTTTATAAAAAAATGAAATTTAACTTCTTCTTTTGGTAATTATTTTATTATTTTTTTTTACAAAAAAGTTGTTTATATTTTTTAACTAATTGTGTTAATAGCCACTCAATCTTGTTTCAACATAGACTTTGGGCTTTTATTTTCAAGCCTCCAAACCAACTTTTTGCACTACAATTAACAATTTGTTATTTCGTTTGGTTTTGATTTCTTTTTTTTCTTAAACTAAAACATTGGCACACTCGTTAGGTTTTCTATTATTTTATTTCTTTATTTATAAATTTTCGTTTAATTCGTAATTTTTTTTCCAATTTTTCCGACTTCCGACCGTTGAGTTTGCGCGCTCAAGTAAATCTGGCAAAAATACGCACAACTTACAACTTTTGCTTTCAAGCAGATGCAGTTTCATGGGCTCTCTTTCAAAGAGAAGGAAAGAGAGAGACAGAGAGAGAAAACAAGGCAAAAAGCTTTTAAAGTAGTGATGTCAACTATGCAATTTTATGGAATACAAAACAAAAGACTTAAGTCACAAACTTGATTATATTCTTTAAAAAACCCACGCCTTATTTAGGCGTCTGAAAAATAATCCACGACTTATTTAGGTCTCTGAAAATAATCCAATTGCTTGATAAGGTCTCTGAAAAAAAATCCACGCCTTATTTAGGTCTCTGAAAAAAAAAAATCCACGCCTTGAAAAGGTCTCTGAAAAAATATTCTTTAAAAAATCCACGCTTATTTAGGCGTCTGAAAAAAATCCACGCCTTATTTAGGTTTCTGAAAAAAAATCCACGCCTTGATGAGGTCTCTGAAAAAATATTCTTTAAAAAATCCACGCCTTATTTAGGCGTCTGAAAAAAATCCACGCCTTATTTAAGCGTCTGAAAAAAATCCACGCCTTATTTAGGCGTCTGAAAAAAATCCACGCCTTATTTAAGCGTCTGAAAAAAATCCACGCCTTATTTAGGCGTCTGAAAAAAATCCACGCCTTATTAAGGTCTCTGAAAAAAAAAATCCACGCCTTAATAAGGTCTCTGAAAAAATATTCTTTAAAAAATCCACGCCTTATTTAGGCGTCTGAAAAAAATCCACGCCTTATTTAGGCGTCTGAAAAAAATCCACGCCTTATTTAGGTCTCTGAAAAAAAATCCACGCCTTGTTTAGGTCTCTGGAAAATATTCTTTAAAAAATCCACGGCTTGTTTAGGTCTCTGGAAAATATTCTTTAAAAAATCCACGCCTTGTTTAGGTCTCTGGAAAATATTCTTTAAAAAATCCACGCCTTGTTTAGGTCTGTGGAAAATATTCTTTAAAAAATCCACGCCTTGTTTAGGTCTGTGGAAAATATTCTTTAAAAAATCCACGCCTTGTTTAGGTCTGTGGAAAAATATTCTTTAAAAAAATCCACGCCTTGATAAGGCCTCTGAAAAAATATTCTTTAAAAAAATCCACGCCTTGATAAGGCCTCTGAAAAATATTCTTTAAAAAATCCACGCCTTGATAAGACCTCTGAAAAAATATTCTTTAAAAAATCCACGCCTTGATAAGGCCTTTGAAAAAATATTCTTTAAAAAATCCACGCCTTGATAAGGCCTCTGAAAAAATATTCTTTAAAAAATCCACGCCTTATTTAGGCCTTTGAAAAAATATTCTTTAAAAAATCCACGCCTTGTTTAGGTCCCGGAAAAAATATCCTTAAAAAAATACTCCTCCTCAAAAAAATTCAATGTTGAAATTATTAACCCTTTATGTGCCGTTTATTAAAAAATTATTTAACTTTGAATTTGGCCTCAAAACCTTGATCCAATAATGCAACATTGAATTTCGAGCCGCAACAAAAAAGTCGGATTTTCGACTTTGTTGTTGCGTCAAATCTATGACAGCTGCCGCCAGCCGAGTGAAATTTTTATGAGGGTGTTCGGTAATTCTAATGAAGCTTTAAATCATTCTGTGACGACACTATCGTCGCGTTTCCCAAAGTCAGGTGGCAATAGGTGGCTAATTTGAAACCGAAATAAAAACAAGCAGAAGTGATACCTAATCAATGGAACGTCCGCCCACCTGTAGAGTGAACAGTCACTGTCATGTCATGTCACAACTAACTAACTACCTAACGGACTGACAGAATAGGGTGACTACCAAATTGGGTGTTAATTCTTTTGTTGAATGGGAAAGAAATTGGGAAACCACTAATCAACAAAAAAAAATTTAAGTTTATTTTTTTTTTTTTTTTTGAAATTGAAATGAAATTTTGTTAAAATATGCGCAACGAAATGGTTCGACTATCAACACTTCGATTTGTCATATAAAAAGCCAGAATTTTCAATGAATTTCGTTTATTCTAAGAAAAGTCTTTACTGAAGTTAGTGGTTCCGAAAAGGCCTCCCCAAAACAAAAACAAAAAATGTTGTTAAAAAATTTCAAAATAATTTCCAATATTTTTTTATTTATAATTTTAATTAAAGGTGTGAACGGTGGTTTTGTTGGTGTTATTATTGTGTGAATTTGTTGTAAATAAATGAAAATCTTTGTTTAGATTTTACAAACGGGAATCCTTTTGTGGGCCTATTCGATCCGAAGTGTGTTGTCATCCAGGGTGATTGTCCCAATGAGAATGTGACATTTTGGCTATATACCAAGTAAGTGGAAAAACAAAGACGAATACAGTGGAACATGGTTATTGAAGTCCAGGAGATCTCAAAATAATTTTTCCGGGACCTAAACAAGGCGTGGTTTCATTTAAGAATATTTTTTTCCGGGACCTAAACAAGGCGTGGTTTCATTTAAAAATATTTTTCCCCAGACCTAAACAAGGCGTGGATTTTTTAAAGAATATTTTCTCCTTCCATATCCTTTCAGTGAAACTCAAAATACTCCCCTTAAATTGGATCCATTAAATCTATCAGCGGACCTCTTTAAGCCTGCCAAACCTCTGTACATAATTTTACATGGTTATACCGGAGATCGTGATTTCTCACCGAATACCTATATACGTCCAGCTCTGTTAGAAACTCAAGATGTCTATGTGATTTCGGTGGATTATGGTCCTCTCGTGCCCTACCCCTGCTATTTTGCAGCAGTACAAAATCTACCGCTGGCCAGTAAATGTTTGGGTCATCTAATCAACACCATGGTCGATCAGAATATTGTGGAAAATGACAGCATCCATATTATTGGTTTTAGTTTGGGGGCTCAGGTGGCAGGGCAAACGGCAAATTATCTCAAGAGGCGGTTGAAAAAGATAACGGGTAAGTTTGTCATACATATGTGTTCCCCGATTTTTAATTTACTTTCTCTGATGGGGTTTTTCTAGGTTTGGACCCCGCCAAGCCCATGTTTGTTACAGTGGGTTCCGATCGCAAGCTGGATGCCACAGATGCCGAATTTGTCGATGTCATACACACCGATGTATTGGGTCGTGGCATGCTAAGATCTATGGGTCATGTGGATTTTTATCCAAATATTGGTCCCTATCAGCCGGGCTGTCAAATGGATAATATGGAGGGTAAGGGGAGGAGACAAAACTTTTTTGGAAATTAATTTAAAAATTATTTTATTTATAGATCCCGGTAGCTGTAATCATGATCGTGCCCCTCAATACTATGCTGAATCAATACGCAACCCAGAGGGATTTTGGGCCTATGCCTGTCCCAGTTGGCTGCACAATGTCTTTGGCCTCTGCAATCCCTATTCGAATGATGAAATTATGGGTCATCGGGTCAAGAGGAGGTAAGGATGTCGATACACAAGGGGTAGATTTTTTAAAAAATATTTTTTTGGGTCCCTCAACAAGGCGTGAATTTTTTTTGAAAAATATTTTTTGGGTCCCTCAACAAGGCGTGGATTTTTTTTGAAAAATATTTTTTGGGTTCCTCAACAAGGCGTGAATTTTTTTGAAATATATTTTTTGTGTCTTAGACAAGGCGTGGATTTTTTTTTATATATTATTTTTAGGTCACGCTTTTAAAAAATCCACGGCTTGTCTAATTTTTTAAAAACGTGGATTTTTTTTAAAAGCGTGGATTTTTAAAAGGCGTGGATTTTTTAAAGGCGTGGATTTTTTAAAGGCGTGGATTTTTTAAAAGGCGTGGATTTTTAAAAGGCGTGGATTTTTAAAAGGCGTGGATTTTTTAAAGGAGTGGATTTTTTAAAGGCGTGGATTTTTTAAAGGCGTGGATTTTTAAAAGGCGTGGATTTTTGAAAGGCGTGGATTTTTTAAAGGCGTGGATTTTTAAAAGGCGTGGATTTTAAAAGGCGTGGATTTTTTAAAGGCGTGGATTTTTAAAAGGCATGGATTTTTTAAAGGCGTGGATTTTTAAAAGGCGTGGATTTTTTAAAGGCGTGGATTTTTAAAAGGCGTGGATTTTTGAAAGGCGTGGATTTTTTAAAGGCGTGGATTTTTAAAAAGCGTGGATTTTTTAAAGGCGTGGATTTTTTAAAGGCGTGGATTTTTAAAACGCGTAGATTTTTAAAAGGCGGGGATTTTTCAAAAAAATATTTTTTGGGTCCTAGACAAGGCGTAGATTTTTCAAAAAAATATTTTTTGGGTCCTAGACAAGGCGTGGATTTTTCAAAAAATATTTTTTGGGTCCTAGACAAGTCGTGGATTTTTCAAAAAATATTTTTCATAGAGGCGTGGATTTTTCAAAAAATATTTTTCATAGAGGCGTGGATTTTTCAAAAAATATTTTTCATAGAGGCGTGGATTTTTCAAAAAATATTTTTGGGTCCTAGACAAGTCGTGGATTTTTCAAAATATATTTGTTGGGTCCTAGACAAGGCGGGGATTTTTCAAAAAAAATATTTTTTGGGTCCTAGACAAGGCGTGGATTTTTCAAAAAAATATTTTTGGGTCCTTGACAAGGCGTGGATTTTTCAAAAAAATATTTTTTTGGGTCCTAGACAAGTCGTGGATTTTTCAAAAAAAAAATATTTTTTGGGTCCTAGACAAGGCGTGGATTTTTTAAAAAATATTTTTTGGGTCCGAGACAAGTCGTGGATTTTTCAAAAAATATTTTTTGGGTCCTAGACAAGGCGGGGATTTAAAAAAAAAATATTTTTTGGGTCCTAAACAAGTCGTGGATTTTTCAAAAAAATATTTTTTGGGTCCTAGACAAGGCGTGGACTTTTCAAAAAAATATTTTTTTGGGTCCTAGACAAGGCGTGGACTTTTCAAAAAAAATATTTTTTTGGGTCCTAGACAAGGCGTGGACTTTTCAAAAAAAATATTTTTTTGGGTCCTAGACAAGGCGTGGAATTTTAAAAAAATATTTTTCAGTAATTTTTCTTTTTCATTCAACATCTTCACATTTTTCTTTTCAGTGCCTCCGGTTCCTATTTCCTGAAAACGCACGACAAATCACCATTTGCCATGGGCAAACTGGTATCGCAAAATGGCCGACGTCAGCCCATGCTCTACGATTACAAGGATATTTACGATGAAGATTTCGAGCCTCAGCTACGTAAGGCATTCGTTGATTGGACCGATTATGATTTTGTAGAATTTCGAAAAATGACACATTTCGATGAGCGGCACAGTAGCAGTAGTAGTTCGGCAAAATACTGAGAATATCGAAGCAAAAAAAAAAAAAAAAAAACACGACAACCAGCATATATATGAGACATGCATTTGTTTTAGAACTGAACACACACAAAAAGGCAAACTTGACCTAATTAGATATAGATTAATAATATTTATTTGTAGATTTTAATTTGAAAATAAAAAACAAAACCATATTCATATTTATATTGAAAGCCATAATGAAATGAAAGTTTGTTGTAATTTTGAAGTTCGGGAGAGATGTTAGTAACGAAACACATTCTGTGGTTGGTGGTTGGATGTAAGGGTGATGAAGTTTTTTATTTCTAATTGGAATTTAAATTAATTCTCGATTGAAGTGTTATTTAGATTTGAACTCAATACGGCCTTTCCATGTTATTTTGCCGAAAATAAATGTCCCAATAAGGATGTTGGATTTTGGCTGTACAAAAAGTGAGTATAACCTCAATGTAGAAAAATATAAATAATTCCAAAATTATCCCCTCTTTCTTTTATAGGAATTCTCCCAACACTCCCCTTCTCTTGGATCCCTTAAATATAACAACGGACATATTTCATCCCAGCCAACCGGGCTTGGAAATTTTAATCCATGGTCTAAGTTTAAATAAGGATAAATCTCCTAATGCCGAAGTTCGCCCCTTACTATTGGAATATGTGGATGTTGATGTGATCAGTGTGGATTATGAGCCGTTGGCTACATTACCATGTCTTTATCCCTGGGCCATAGAAAATACTCATGTTGTGGCCAAGTGTTTGGCGGAATTTTTAAAGAAGCTTGTAGAAATGGAAATTTATAAACCAGAAGCCATACACATAATTGGTTTCAGTTTGGGTGCCCAAATTGCAGGCTTGGCGGCAAATCATATGGATTTTCGAATAGGCAAGATAACAGGTAAAATATCCATGCCTTGTTTTAGACCGCAAAAAATATTTTATAAAAAATACATTATATAGAACCTAAAAATATTTACTTTTACTACTTGTTTAATTTCTATTTTCTTCCTAAACAGGCCTCGATCCTGCTGCATGGGGTTTTACATCCGCCGATCCCAAGGACAAACTGGATCCCTCTGATGCTGATTTTGTAGATGTTATACACACCGATCCATATTTGTTTTCATTTATATCACCCGTTGGTCATGCCGATTTCTATCCAAATTTGGAATCGATCGTTCAACCGGGTTGTAGTTTTATCGAAGAGAGAAGTATTTTCAAAATAGAATTGAATTATTTCCTCACTCTATTTTTTCTTTGTTTTCTTCCTTAGGAAATTGCAATCATTTTCGTTCGGTGATCTATTATGCCGAATCGATTACAACGGAATTGGGATTTTGGTCGTATTATTGTGGTGACTTTGTCCATTACATTTTGAATCAATGCCATCATTTCGATGTGGAGAATCAATTGATGGGCTATTATGTCAGTGATAAGTGAGTAGAGAAATAATTTGCATTTCCTTTGTCAGATGTGTTCTATTCGTTTTCTTTCAGAGCCCGCGGTTCGTATTTCCTTTCCACCGGCTCGTCATCACCATTTGCCTTGGGTACTCCAGCCCAGACGGAGTTAGTTGTAGTTAATGGTATAGTCCAAACTATAACGGGATCATAGTTTTTTGCATAAACTATGTTGAGCATTTAATATTAAGGGAACCCCCCCCATTCTCGATTTGAATTTTTTAAGATTTTCAATGGGCTGGTAAATCAATACCAATGCTTGTTAAGGTTTGTAACTTTGCACATATATAATTGAAGATTTAAAAAAGAAGAAAAATAATTTACAAAGAATTTTTGTTATTGTTTTGTTGTTGTTTTTTGTAATTAAAGAAAAGTCCTTATTTTTGATGGCGGGCATGATAACTCCTCACTGGAACATCGGAATCCGAAAATTCCAACGGTGTTAGAAAGAGTACATGTCTGGCTCTCGTATGAACTAGGATTATTGACTTCGCTCTAAAATTAACAAAATGGTGGACCTTTGAAAAAATATTTTTAGATAATCGCCGATTTTTGACCAAAAACCAAATTAAAAAATAAGGAAGATCTTCACCGATTGGCTTTATCCTAGTTCATACGAGAGCTATACACTCCCAGAGAAACGATGCAAAATTTGGAACCGATTGGATTATTAGTTTTTGAGTTATCGTGCCCGCCATTCGCAAAAAAAAATGTTTAGAGAAAAACGCGTTTAAAGTTTGAGAAACCCTTTAGCCGTCACTTGATGCTGACACACTAAATCGGATATATCTTCAACAGTTCTTGAGATTTTCACTTGAAATTTTGTAGAGACATTCTTTAATCAGTGTAGATTCGAATTATATCAACAAAAATTTTGACCCCGAGAATGGGGGGGTCCCCTTGTAAAAATAATCCAAAAAATAGTAAAAATCTACGCCTTGTTTGGGTCCAAAAATTTATTCCTTAAACCAGTGAGCGGAGTAGTATAGTGAGACGTAGCCGACAATATGATATCCTATACAACATCCACGAAAATCTAATTTTCTGTGGTTATACATTCTGAGCTTTGGCAATATTTCGAGATATTTGCACCCTCTTGTCCGACTAGAGGTCAACAAATATTACTAATATTCAATACAGCTCTTCTAATTACTTCACAGATTCCCTTCACTGTAGGTTGTGTTGTGATGTTCGGCTTTCAAGTGTGGCCTATAGATCGACTCGAAAAAAAAAACACAAAAAAATAAGTTTTCGGTCCACTTCATCCCAATATTATTACCTGATCGTCACGCCAAGAAAATCCACGCCTTGTGCTAGGTCCCAAAAATATTCTTTAAAAAACCCCACGCCTTGTCTTAAATCCCAAAAAACAGCATCGTTTTCCCAGCCCGTAATGGAAGTAATGTATATACCAGCCGGGATACTTTCCATATTGCTCAATAAGGCTAAGAAGTGGTTCTCTATGTCTAGTAATGTGTTGAGCGTGAGCTTTTACTTTTGATACCGTCTGAGGCTGAAAATGTAAAGGTATACCTATTTCATTCATTTTTCCGACTTTGGTTTTATGTTATTTGTTTAATTTTTTTTCTGAATCCATGAATCATCGATTAAATGGATGACAATTTATCGGCCGCGACACAGCATCCTTACCATGGTATGCACATTACAACTCAAGCTCCGTTCGGATACATACGCTCCATGACTGCAAAAATTAAACACTGATAGGCACAAGGTCGCGTAACATCCCAGCATTAAGAAGTAGTCCTTCAGGGTAATGGTTTATTTAGTGCCGTCAATATTCCCCTCGTCACCTCAAGAATTATTGGTATTCCGTTATTTCCAGAGAGGCATTGCCATTAAACCCCCACAGTTTTTTTTTAATTCCCTGCTACCCACTATATATATCCGCAACCTGTGGATGTGTCCGATACCATTCGGCAATGCTTCCAACTGACAAATATAAGGATTAATTTTCAATGACAGTTTATGAATACCCATAAGTTTGTGCTCTAGAAGGCCGACAGGAGGTCTTCCGTATACTGTGGTCTTCTGGCTATAAAATAGAGTCTTCTGGCTATACAGGCCCACAAAAAATATTCTTTTGAAGGTTTTTTTTAGATAGAAAGCCCTACGAGGCCTTCTAGAAGATATTTTTTAAATCTTCTACAAAATGGAGAGCTTTATAAAGGATAGGATACAATATCTTCCATAGATATTAGACCTCCTCAAGAGGTCAGAAGGCATTTTTCCGCTGAAAGACTCAGAAAAAATATTCCATTGAAAATGGGCTACAGAAGGCTTAGTAGATCGAATGACGAGGTCCTCTAGAATATATTTTTTTAATTTTTTTTTTACAAAATGGAGAGCTTTATAGAGGTTAGGATACAATATCGTCCATAGATATTAAACCTCCACAAGATATTATTCTAAAATAATATAGATCTTCTGGCAATAGACGACATACAGGAAGTCTTCTGGCCAAAGGAGGGCCCACAGAGAGTATTCATGTCCTCTATCACTTAAGGATCTGCATAAGGTATTTTGCAGCTGGGAGACCTCAAAAAATATTCCATTGAAAACGAAAGGCTTATTAGAACGAATGCCTTATGAGGCCGATACATCTATTTTCAATATTCTATAAATTTAGATATTTATAGAGGATAGGATATAGTGAGAATGCTTCTAAAAGGTCATATCTTCTAAAAAGAAGCCATCCAGGAGGCTTTTTTATAGAAGATCTGAAGAAGATATATCCTCTTTTGAATGTACCACAACTACATAATTTATTCTGCTACCCATGCCTAGACTTCTTTCCTTAGCAAAACACACAATGGAGATACCTACAAACTACACCAGACGACGAGGATCTACAGAAGGCATTTTTCCGCTGAAAGACTCAGAAAAAATATTCCATTGAAAATGGGCTACAGAAGGCTTAGTAGATCGAATGACTTACGATGTCCTCTAGAATATATTTTTTTTTTTTACAAAATGGAGAGCTTTATAGAGGTTAGGATACAATATCGTCCATAGATATTAAACCTCCGCAAGATATTATTCTAAAATAATATAGATCTTCTGGCAATAGACGACATACAGGAAGTCTTCTGGCCAAAGGAGGGCCCACAGAGAGTATTCATGTCCTCTATCACTTAAGGATCTGCATAAGGTATTTTGCAGCTGGGAGACCTCAAAAAATATTCCATTGAAAACGAAAGACTTATTAGAACGAATGCCTTATGAGGCCTTCTAAAAGATACATCTATTTTCAATATTCTATAAATTTAGATATTTATAGAGGATAGGATATAGTGAGAATGCTTCTAAAAGGTCAGATCTTCTAAAAAGAAGCCATCCAGGAGGCTTTTTTATAGAAGATCTGTAGAAGATATGTCCTCTTTTGAATGTACCACAACTACATAATTTATTCTGCTACCCCTGCCTAGACTTCTTTCGTCCGTCAGGACGAAAGGCGAAATATTGTGAAGGTCATTACTTCATCTGACGCCAACAGACCGTCGATAGCGAACGCGATGAAATGCAACAAAGTCCTACTCCAACCTCCTTCTGCAATTTCGGATAGTGAAGGGATTCTTCATAAGCAAACCCCTTCGTTTCTGATAGAAACTGTTACAAGAACAACCGGTTGAAATAGAAAATAGACGTCCTGGAAGTTTTCTATATCTGTAGCTCCAAAAATCTTCTACAAGAAAAATACTAGCTAATTTATTAAGAAAACAAGTAAAAAAGTATCAATCGGTGTTGCCGGCAGGTGGACTAAACTTCGGACTTGATATGGGCTTGGTAAAGATAATAGGTTGTGCAAAGTTTGGTTCAAATCAGGCAAATTGACCGCATGTAAGAGAGGTACCAGAAGAAGTAGACTTCATATAGACTCGGTAAACATAATAGGTTGTACAAATCGGACAATCCATTTTCTGATATTGGAATTTATAAATATTGAAATTTCTGATAATTTATGTGGGAGATATCAGAAGTATTGGTCGACTAATCCATATTCGGACTTCATGTAGGCTTGGTAAAGATAATAGGTTGTACAAAGTTTGTTTCAAAACGGATAGTCGATTCGCATATTATGAAATTAATTTTTAATATAATTTTGACCATTTTGTACCAAAAGCAGTGGACCGCTATTTCCCGTCTTCGAACTTGAACTAAGTTTGGAAGAAATATTACGATGTGCAAAGTGTGGATGAAATCGGTTACTTCCTTCGAAAGTTATTGAGCGCACCAGCCGGCCAGACAGACGGACGAACGTTTGTAAATCGATTCCAATTTGTCTGAAATGGATTTGGTCCAAAGAAACATGGAGGGTAAATCCAATATTTCATTAGGCACATTTAGGTCCTGAATGTTGGATATAGCTGTAGCTCCAGAAGACTTAAAGGTCGTTTACATTAAACCGGATTTGGTTAACCCAGTGGGTTTAAATTTTCAATTCCTTTGAATATATGCCAAATAAATCCTCATAAAGTAGGTTAACCCGGTAAAAAGTTATAATGTAAATGCCGTATTAAACGGCTTTTACATTAGAATTTTTTACCGGGTTAACCTACTTTATGAGGATTTATTTGACATATATGCAAAGGAATTGACAATTGAAACCCACTGGGTTAACGAAATCCGGTTAAACGTAAACGTACTATTATACAAGAAATTGACCTGACATTAATGGGACTTTTTTCCAATTGTCAAAAAAATTAAATAAATTACCTGATAAAGGTCATCAAGAGGTGCCATAGCCGAGCCTAATGCTCGCCGAACATGGACAGAAACTTAATGCTATACTTGATGCAGTTCTCCATTTAAGTGAGATCAATCTTCGTTAGGTTACGCATCCTCTTCTCGTTGGCATTTTAATCCAAACTTCAGAATTCGCTGAGTGATAATCTCATAAAGGAATTACAAATTCAATCGGTATGGGAATTGTCTGTTCTGGGCTTTCCTGGATTCTTTAAAATTTTCAAATTACTTCGTAACTTCCAATATCGCCCATCTACGACACCTTGAAACTAATTCAACAGGGGTTATCAATTTCCCTTTGAATTCCCTCTATGCTTCTTCTTACTAGTCGGCTTTTCACAGCAACAGCTGTTAGTTTGTTTATTTATCTGCTACTGATAACTTCGTTCA